TTTTTTTCATTTTCTGTCTCTCTGTCTTGCTCAGTCTCTCTGGCTAGCACACATCCCCAGTAGCAAAAATCTCTCTTTCTCAAAAAAGAATTTTTTTCTCCTTAGACTAGTACATGAATTCATCGAACTATCAGGATACAAAAACAGCACACAATCGTCAGTTGCATTGTTACACACTAAAAATGAACAATCATAAAAGGAAATTAAGAAAACAATTTCACTTACAATAGAGCAAAAAGTTAAATATTTAGAAAGAAATAAAATTAATAAGTAGATAGAAGTCTCCTATATTATGAACTATAAAACGTCACTGAAAAAAAATAAAGAAGACACAAATAAATGAAAATCTTGTGTTCATGGATTGGAGACTTTATATTATTAGTTAATACTACAAAGCAACCTACAGTGGACCTGTAATACAATGCAGTTTTTAAAAGTCTATTACAGGAATCACGATATTGATTCTAAGGATTTATTTATAGGAGAGGAGTCTGAATAGCAAATGTAAAGTCATCTGTAAAGCCTGAATTTCAAAATAAAGCATCACTAATGTCATTTAAGAATTCATTCAGTGCAGCTTCCAGATTGCTGAACACATGTGATGCCTGAAGGTAGCATCCCTGGAGACAGTGTGGAAGCTCCCTACCTCCTTCCCCATAGCCTGCTCATCCAGCTGTCGATTTTTTAATTTGTAAAATTTGTACATGTGTATCAAAACATCATACTGTTCACCCTAAGTATACACAATAAAAAATAATAATCTACTAAGCAACAATCAGAAAACAAAAGGAAAAAACCCTTTCTGATCATCTTGACTCTAACCTTTTTAATATATGCTTTAATTACCTATATGTCAGCTTCCACTTGCAAAAAAACACTATGACAAATGGTGCGTTTAAAGACCTGTTCAGAGAGAAGGGGCGGGGCTTCAGCTGCAGCCTTGGATTTGGGTGCAGGCAGCAGGTGCCCGGGAAGCACTGTGCCGTTGCTGCGCAGAAGTAAACGGCTGTGTCTCCAGGTTGGGTGGCCGCGATGTGCAGGGAGAACTGTTTCTTTGCCTTATCTAAAAAAACAGTGAGTCTTTGTTTGCTATTTTTGACCTTACTTGCACGAATATCTATAATGAACTGGGGACCTTTTCCAGGTTCTTGCTTATACCAGGGGAAGTAGTCTGAGGCACTGTCAGAATAAGAACAGTTGATGACAGAGCTGTCTCCCTCCAGGACACGCAGAGTAGAAGGACGCTGCTCCACGTTCTCTCCACGGCTCACCCAGAGACTGGTCAAGAATTGCCAAGTCAGTACTCTCCAGAATTTTCTTTTTCTGCAGTAACTAGAGGAAATCTAAATAAAGCCACTCTTCTCCCCACACTGCTAAAGAACAGTCATAAAAATATACACTGATTTCCCAAACCCTCAACTCACAGTCCAGCGGCAGCCACAAGAACATGAATACAGTTTGAATGGATTTCTTCATTGCTCTTCTGAGTTAGAATCAGTCATAGATCTGCAACCTCCAGACTGGGGAGCTGTGTCTACTATTATCAGATCACCCCTTTTTTTCTCTAACAATCTTAGTGGTTTCTCACCCTGAGGACCTAGCCAATAAGGAAAAGGTTCTGCTTCTACTGTAAACCTATTCATTCAGAACCCACCCACCTACCCTCCACACATTCTGCATTAGCAAAGGCGTGTCACCATCTTCTGGTCACTTCCCAAACTACTGACTGGCTAGTAAATGCTCTCTTCTCAGCCATGGGGGACTCAGGTACCTTAAAGCTGCCATAGGACCGACAAATGAAATCTTAGATCCGAGGTTAAATCCACAGTAAAAACGTAGGAATTAAGATTTGCACTTAAGCACACTACTGAGTCATTTTTGATAAACTGGAAAGTAGCTGCTATCTGTATTTATTCAAAAATGGGCTGAGTTTACGTTTAAAATCAAGAAAAAAACCATGATTGGTCACATCCCTAACTACTGACTGGCTGGTAAATGTTTTGCTCTCAGCCATGGGGGACTCAGGTGCATAAGACCTGCAATAGGACCAACAAATTAAATTTTAGAACCAAGGTTAAATGCACAGTAAGAATGTAGTAATTAAGATTTGTATTTTTATGCACGGTACTGAGTCATTATTGAAATATTGGTAAGAACTAGATGCTGTTGGTGCATATTCAAAAATGAGTTGAGTTTACATGTTTGAAATCAAGAAAGCGCCATGATTCACTCCCCTAAACAAAGAAAGCAAAATACCTTTTTAAAAATCAAATCTACAACCATGATTTTATCTACTATAGAGAAAAACTTTCTACAAGGAACATGTGAGTCAAAGATCAGAGCAAGAAAAGAGCACTCAGTGTTTCAAGTGCACATTGTCTCACACTCTGTCCCCCCAAAGCTGGAACTCTGAGACCATTCCACATGCAATCTAGTATTTCGGGGATTATCCCCATCCAAACCAAACCAGAAGTAGAGACTGAATCCCTGGGATGGGTTCCTCTCAGGGTTCTCATTCCTCCTGTATTACCAGTGAGGCTGATAGGTCAAGAAGAGGCTAAATCTATCGTAAAATTAATAAAATGGAACTTTGCTCACTAAGTGTAATATTGTTATAGGTGATATAGGGGTGAACTCCATGACTGAGCCCTAGGTAAGCGTTATGCTTCTTTTTGAAGGTCTATTCATTAAATTTACATCTATAGCATATGATATCTTTGTCATAGGAAGAAAAACAACAGTGTCAATTTAGAGAACCTAGAAGCAGATGAGTTTAGTAACGTGTAAAGCTAAAGGCACTTTTCAAACAGCCTGATTGCAGAGCACCCATTGCAAAAAGAAACTCTGGGGTCCTTGTTCAAAAAGCGGGAAAAAAGCAGCATTAGGCAATAAAATATAAAGCTATCATTAAAGGTATGTTACCATTGCTTATAATGATATATATGCAATAACACAAACTTGGAAACAGGAAATAAATATTTTGGTATTATAATTTATGTATTAATTAATACACAACATTAATGTGGTATCTTGATTAATTGTAAGATTTTTCTGGTTCATTTTTCTCCTACTTAATTAGGTTTTCAAAATCGGTACTTTTAGCAACTTCATTAAGCACTATAAATGAAAATGATGTCAGTTGCTCATGGTAAATGTAAAATTGCAAACAAAATTATCCATTTCTAATGTTTAGGTTATATCTGCTGACACAACTGACACTGGCGCTCCCAGGAGTATTTTTTGTATTGTGACATTAGAATTCATGTCTGATAAGTTAGCTGTAAATATTATTTTCAGACAGAAATCTAGGATTGATAGTTCTAGTGAAACAATTTTCTCACGTTTTTTGATTTGCTAGGGGGCACACATACTTGCCAGGGAGAGACAAAAACAGAGAAGGAGAACCCCCCCCCAA